GAAAGCTGTTGACAAAATCACTTCAACTGACTCTTTGTCTTTTTCTAATTCTAAAGATTAGAAAAAGACGAAGAGTAAGTTGAATCGAGATTAAAGTTAATCTACATTGGTGGAAATGGGCATTATACCACTGTCATCCTCTACATACTATGGAATAATTTACTATAACTCCTAAACCAATGCCGTCCCTCGCTTAATTTCTTGTAGGAAATCACTCAGGACACTCTCCTTTACAACATATCTAAAAGACATTCAAATCGATGAGGGGTATAATCTAAAATACACATTTATATCAAATAAAAAATAAAACTGTCTTATTCGTTTTTGAGATAGAATTTTTTCTACAAAAACCACAAGCCCCTTCTTAAAACGTTGCATAGATGTTTTTTTATAAATAGTTTTATTCACTATCGAAAAAAAAACCGTGGTTTTTGGGGAGCACCTCTTCTGAACATTTACCATTAAAAAAATAATAAACTTTTTCTAAACAATTGTTTCAGGAAAATGGTCATACATGCAGATTACCAGAAAGATTAACAATTTCTTCACCCAGAGTTAATGGTAAGGAATTATGAATAGTAATTTAATTACTTAAAGGTCGATAGGAAAAACTATGGAAGACCTTTGTCAGAGACGAATTAAATGTTGAAATTAGTGACAAAATCGCAATGTAATTGCGATATTCGTAATTAGGAAAATCGTCTGCAGACTTTTTTGGGGGTTTTTTTTTTTTGGAAAAGGCTAAATAAAAAATTCAGTTTGATATTTCACTTTATTTGCACTATAGAGCAGATTTTATTTATTGTAATGTTAAGAACCAACTTACAAAAACTGGTTCAAAAAACCTGATTTTGGCGATGCAAGATCAAACTAATAAAATCATTGATATATGATAAATAGATCTTTTTAAATCCGATAACTTTTGTCTGAAACATTTTTCTCGAAAATGCTTTATTTTTGAAATATTCGACTTTTGATCCATCCTGTATATATTTTTAATTGTATTCTGATTATAATGTTTAATATTTAATTAATTATTTTAATATTGTTAATTGTTTTGTAGAAGATGATCAAAAAAAGAGTAAAATTCACCTTGATGTTTGAATAACATACATAATTCACGATTAATCTGTGTCGGCTCGTAATTGACACTATCCTTTGTTCATAATTAATTTTAATTGAGTTTAAATTTCTCTGTATTTTGCTAACATTTAAATATACTTGCAGTGACAGATGAACAAAGGTTAAGAAAAAAAAGGAGAAGTCATTCAAAAAGATTGTCAGTATCTTTTTCGCGATCGGGAAATAGATGGTCCAATGAAACTCCAACAACTGCGGGGCATATTAAGGTAAGTGGTATTATAATAATTAAGCAATAAAATCTAAGGATATTTTTAAATTATTGTAGTACTCACATTGTTTACAGTATTATAAGAATTACTTCATCCATTGGGATGCAAAAAAATAGTATGCCTAATATTATACTTTTGCTATATCTTTTAGAGATTACTACATTTAAACTTTTTTTATTTCTCTGTAGGTAATTGACACCCAAATTGATATTGAAAGTCAAGAGAGTCATGACACGTCTGACGATCATCTGATAAATAGAATAAATGCAATGTCAGAATCACAGGTGCCTATTAACTCGAACGAGAAAAATGAAACGCACGTAGACATATCGAAGTCAGATCCTGATGTACAAATAAATAATAAAATCACTAAAGATTTTAGTAGGAATTCGAGTGCAACGGAAAATTCTAAATTGCAAAATAATACTAGAACTTGGGAGGAAGAGGATCCATTAGAAGGTCCAAGTTGGCTGTTCAACAATACCATACCATCACGAGATAATGAGCCAGAACTCGAGAATGATGACGTCTCTGACGTTAACAATAATACATCACAAGTAATAGTGTATGATGATTCGAGTGCTACAGAAAGCAACATAGGAGATATATCGAATTTAAATGAATCTATGAACGATATGCAAACTCCAGAGAGATATCCCCATGCCGATCGTTCCGAGTGTGACTCTTATATGCAGGAGCATGATACGAACGATAGTATTTGCGAGATACTTCCGACAGCGGCCATATCCAATGATAAAAAAAATTTGGGTAACGTAGAAGACGGTAATGCAAATGATACAATGAAATTCAATGATACAATGAGCTTCGTAACGCTGAGACGAGGGCATTCCGAAGCACCGGAAGAGACAGAAGACTTTACCTTGATGTTACGTCCACCAAGACAAAATGTGCAATTTGATATTAACGAGCTGCGACTACCTGTTTTGGAGGAATCCGTGATAAATAATTCCGCTGTCAATAACGAAATTAATACTAAAGTAACCGCCACGATACCAAGAGTTACGAGTATTCCGATCGCATCTGTATCGAATCAAAGTTTAGATAAATCTGATTATAACCATATCACGATAAAAGTGCCAATAATTCTAGTTGGCGATCATCAGAGAACGTCGACATCTCAAAAAACAAAGCATTCCAGTAATAAGAAATCGAGCATACCGAATATGAAAGACAGAACGAGTCACGCTGAAAATTCTCCGATTAAAAATAAGGCGAAACTGAAAAATAAATCTAAGAGTAATCGTGATCCTAGCACAGCAAAAGTTGTTTTAGAGAAACTGAATGAATCTCATGTTAAACCGAACATGGCTCAGAATGTTAATAATGTCATGTATGTATAATTATAATTATAAATTGTTACAAGCCATTGGATTGCTTTTATACTCTGAATTTGCAGGAGAGGTACCATTTGTAATGAAGATGATCAACAAGATTCGGAAAGTAGCAGCTATCCTTCTAGTCGCCCTAAACGAAGAAAGGCGCCGACAAATTTGAAAGAACCTACTTTGATTAAGTAAGTAAAAATTCTCTGCTTGGACTGGATAGAATATGTCTAGAGTAGAATTTGAGCTACTTAAAATATTCGACTATCATATATGACATGAAATTGTATTTCTTTGCAGGAAACTAAGACGAGGTTAATAAGAAGGAGACTGATATGCATTATCAAGATTTAATGAAGAAAATTATTACTCGCATTATCGATGTCGATAATATATTACTGAAAGTTATTTCTTTTTGCTTGACAATTGAGAATAATGTAAATGGATTACATATAAATTATCTGAATAGCTGTTAAATTTTAAAATCGACAGTGTATTTGTTAGTTGAAATTGTGGGAATTATATGGTCGATTCGGCTATCCTAATAATCCCATGGAAACATTATATTGCCAATATATTACTTCTTCCGTTAATATGTCGCACTATAATTTTGTATTATTATGAGTATGAATATACATGTACAAAACATGCTCATAATCTTCCTTCTACAGTATTATTGGTACAATACCATATTTTTTTATATACTGCCAGATTTATTTTAGTAAATATGACTGAGGTGTGTAGATGGCGAGTAAATTATTTTTTTCCAGCCTTTGTTTACATCATTAATTTACAATTATAATAATCTTTTTTATAACAGGCATATTTATTATATGTATAATATCTAATATTTTTTTATTACCGACTATTTATAATTATACGTGTATAAGGTTTGTATATATGAAGGCGCAACAGAGAGAATATCCATGTAAGGGCTTGTGTGGTTCAGTGGTACAGTAATTGTTTAGTAAGGGAAACTGAAAGACCAGCTAAGCCTCGATTCGAATCCTTATAATGTCATGAGTGTCATTATTGTCGGCTTACACATATGCATAACATTATTGACGTTTTGGGTATCGTTGGTTTATAACATCCGGCTTCAAGACCTGGTCTACGAGTTTCATCTACTAAGCAGTGACTGAGCCACACTTCAAAATGACTTTTGCTTGGACCTCGATTGTTTTCAGTCTCGTTTCTCAGTTTCGTCTTAATTTTAATCGTCGAAGAATTTTCAACGTGACTCGTTCAGTCTTTCATATTTGATATTTGATTTCTTACTATTATTGGATGCTTTGCCTAGTGCGATGTTAACCTTTTCTTGTAATCTATTTTTTTTATTGTACGAAATATCCGAAAAATCACATTTTTAAACACATTTCGAATTTTTTCTTCTAGCAAGCCGAGGTGTTTTTAGTTAAGAGTTTTTCATTCTCCATTCTTTTAAATTAACAAATATTTTTGTTATCTGATTTTCTCATCTCCCTGAAGAGAACGTTTTCTGGAGAATATTCTTGCAACGAAGAGACTCGGAGTCCCTAGCACGAAATTAAGCGCGAGGTGAAACTGTTTCGCCGTGCTCTGCCGCGAAATGATTGATCGCCGTCGGAAACGGCCGGCAGCTTTCGTGCGCAAATAAAAAGGCTTGGCCTCCGTGTACTCGAGTAGTGTTATGTGTATATGTATAAATGGATTTAACCTTCCGCGCGCTTCCACGCTAGAACTGCGAGCGAGCACGGGCGCGCGGGGGCGGAAATTAATTATGTTTGTTTAATTTCGAGATGAAAAAAGCAGCTGGCACTGCCTCGCCCATGCGGCGTTGGTGCGGCTTTAATCCGGGAAAAACGAGAAGAACGAAGACAGAAAGACGGAGAAAGAGGCAGTCGTTGCTGAAATTACTCTACGTGAAGACTCTAAAAGGTACTGTGAAACTTGATTAAATTTTAAGCAGTAGTTTAACAATTAATGTGTTTCGATTTTCACGTGGGAGACCGATAAAAAAGATAACTACATATGCATGCTTAATCGTCAGTGTACGACAACATACACACGTAATACATTGATGGATCCAGAAATTTGTCACGAAGGAACACGTAAGTGAATTTTTTTTAAGATCAAATATGAAAAGATATAGTATTAAATTATTATTTTAAAAAAGTAAAACTCTCTTAATGAATTTTCGTTTAAGTTACCCTATAGATGTTCTTAAACAAAATAACTTTTTAATTAATAATTCTATTAAAAAAATAACAGTACACACTTAAATCAAACACCACGCACTGTTATATGTATATAAATTATTATAACGTCATATACGACAACCTATAAAGTTTATAATAGTTTTAATTTTCGAATAACTCCGCATCTTTGCATCGAAATTGTTCGGTCGCTTTGAGTTTTTAAACTCAGTTTTAGGATTGTCACTTTTGACAATTCGAATCTTTAAATTGAAAAGTTTAATTAATGCCTTTGAAACTTTGAAAAATATATTTGTGCGAATAGGAAAAAAAGGGTAAATACGTAGCTGCCTCGCGACGCTGTTTCGATCAGTTAAGCCGCTCATTAAGAAGAGGAAGTAACGCGATACATCGCGGAAGAATATTAGCGACACGATCATCGAGCCAGAAGGTGCAACGTGAATCGATGTATCGGCATGCCATCGGTCACGTCGCGACGTCGCATGCTTGTCGTCCTCGCCGGATATTGACGCCTCACGCTCGCATTTCCTCGTGCAGGCCGGAAAATCACTGGCGAGACCCGGGAGAAGCGTCCTGTTAACTATGTCGCGGATGGAGTCGTCCACTTCGAGATTATTCTCTCGCGTGTCTTTACTTTCGCGAGAGCACGCACGCACCTATTATGCGACATACGAATGCGACTTGAGAATCGTATAATTGAAATTGATGTGAGAGATCGCACGCGAATGTCACTCAGGGAACCACCTGCTTTTTCTCGCTTTCCTTAACCATGACACTTGAATTAATGATACGCACGTGTTATGTATTCCGGTAACGAAAGGAAATATCATTCAAACGCATAGAAAGACTGACTTTGCTGAAATATGCAAAAATTTAACTACATACGGATCTAACGATAATTGGTGGTTCGATTAATTTAATCACACTTTGATTGTAATTCAGAAGTCCGTTATGTCTGACAGGAAATCTTTGTGGTAAAAATATTATGAATGAAGGAGATAGTGCAAAAAATTTTGTGAAATAAATTTTTTAATTAGATATTATGTATCTTACTTTGGAGCATAGAATGCCGTTTAAATTTCATTACTTTATTGCGTCTCTCTTGCTTTTCCTAAACAACCGATTCGGATAACATTTCAGCAAATAACGTACGCCTTCAACAAGATTTTCTTGGAAAAGATTCGAGGGAAACGATCAAAGGCGCTTTCTTGGGAAAATGTACACGGCCGGAATGTACAGTAAAACGCAAATTTGTTCGAAAATACACTCGATAAACAAGCGTTGATAAACGTCGATAAATGTACCTCTAAAAAGTTTTCACCAATTAGAATATTAAAATACTGATATATATAAAAATAAATATTAAAATACCGATATATAATAATAAATTAATAATTAAAAAAACAAGAAATAATCAAAAAATTAAAGGTATGACGTGTGAAGAAATCTCTACAAATCATAAAAAAATATTAATCGAACAGAGTTAAACTTTTTACAGATAGACGTTTTAAAAAATTCATCACGTCGTTTCGAAAAATCTGCTAGATGGATTCTCGTTCAAATTTCTTGCTTTTCTTGATATGCGATAAATAACGGTATACAAATGAGCGACAACGATATACAAAATTTATGACAAATGAACCTGAAGCGTTGATTTATCTTGAAGTTGATGCCTGAAGCTCTCACGGTCGAATGCATTAACCAAGGACGATAATGACGATCGTTTTGGTCGTCCTGAAAGTCACTCGGTGCATCGCAGACACAATTGTATAAGATGCAGACGGTCGATTACTGACATTATGCAGAGTACAGTACAATTGAGATTAGGGTTTACTGATATGCTTTTATGCAAATAATATTGATGTGACAAGTGGAGTAGTCAATAAGTAACTCTCGTTTGTTTGAAGTTGTTCTCATTTATAAAAAAGTGTATTCTTCATTTGAAAGAAGTTTCATGAAATATAATTAATCATCAATTTCCAACATCCATAATAAAGTCCAAACACTGTAGAGTAAAAAAACATTTTATGTTTGTGTTAAATAATATTCAAAATTGTTAGTGTTAAAATCTTTATGTTAAAATAATACAATTTACTAATAAGTGAGCAATTAACAAAAATCATGTATTTGAAAACGTAAATTCTAAGATAAAAAAATGAATAAAACGTTTTACTTTAACATATAAATGTTAATTTTATTGAGGAAATATTTCTCCACGACTTATTTATTAAATTGTGTTTATTTTTACACAATATTTATATTATTTTTTCTAACATATTTATCTTTTATTAAATTAACACAAAAATTTAAATGGATCTTTTAGAGCACGTGAAGCGTGTTTTTAACACAAATTTTCCAACGGTGTATGCATTGCAAGTTGAACATTTTAGAATTCAAATAATCAGGTAATTTTAATTTTTATTTATTTCGTTCTGATTAGTTGAATTCTAATTTCCAAAGAATCTAATACGAACTTAAAAAAAATTAGAACTTCCACAAGGATTTGGATAAGCGAAATTGTTTTAAATCCAACGATATTATGATATCGAAACTTTATTAATTACGTGAATACATTTGTTTTCTGTAAGCAAAGATTTTGCCACCTCGAAAATATGCATATTTTGGTGCAGATGTTTCGTGATGCCTAATTTTTTTTACACGAGCTTTTTAAAAACCGTTCAATTTCGGCAAAAACGTAGGAACTCGTTTGCCTGCCCAAAGCGATGAAAAAGGAGACCCTAAATCTGCGGACACAGTCGCGTAGAAGCGAGACAACGAACATAAAGCATCGTTCCCACCTATACAGATGAGTCTTTTGATCAATATAGTGGAAGCAATTAATTAGTCTGTGAAATTGGTTCGATCGGTACCACCTATGTTTTAAACGATCTCAAACGATCCTCTGGATATCTGATATTCAATGACAGCTCGTATCTCCAGCTATTTCGGAATGTCTGTCAGACAAACATGCACCTTAATCCTGTTACCGGCATTTCGATCCCTTCCCTATCCGTCAAACTCCCCACTACAAGCACGAATATCCAACCAAGGGCGCATGCGCCCGTCATTTCCCAGTAGCTCCGATCGGTCGGCCAATCAGGCGCACCGGATGGCGACATCGCCGGCCAATCGGCGTCGCGTTCGATGACGACAGCGCTATTTTCAGCCGGCGTGACTCACGGGATATAAGCGAGTACGTTTAGTTGGATGTTCACAAGTTGTCGGGCCACCGTGGCGGACAGGGTGATCCGCGTTCGCGCAAAGCACGTCGCCGCGATCCCGTCGTAGCGTTATCGTTCTGTCGAGCAGAAAGACGGTACACGCGCACCACGTTGTGTGTCGTGAGTCATTGTTGTGTTGACAGTCGAAGCAGGCGGGAGGTAGGAAAGGGAGCGAGACAGGCGAGCAGGCAGGTTGCCGCTTCTCAGCGCGGACCGGTTGTTGTCGCATCGGCGTAGTGCACGCCAAAGACGTGCGTTAAACATCGCTGTCTTTTCTCCACCGATTTGAAGTGTCGACTTTGGTCGACTTCGCTTGTATCAGGTGTCGGCCGCGCCGGGGTGATTGGTGCGCGATATACGCCGAGTGACGTGACGGTGGGACGGACGGACGGACGGAGGTGCGGCGTGGAGTAAGGAGAGACGGCAGTCGTACCGCGAGTGAATTTTTGCGTACAGCCGCGAGCGGCTGTTATGTAATCGCTGCAGCGCGGAGCGAAGTGTTTGCGCGTTGACGTAGGCAAAGAAGGAGAGAGAAAGATAGAGAGAGAGAGAGAGAGAACGTGAAAGACACGACGGAGAACGTCGCAGAACTCGTTGACGTGTTGAAACTTGAGGAAAGTCCGTCGTTCTATTTAACTCTTCGGGCCGGCTTAAGCGAGTCGTGTGCCACTCCGGGGGGAACGACCGCTTTCCCGTCCGGAGGCGAGAAATTAGAAGGAGTCGAGGGTAAAACCTCGGTATTGCCTAATCGAGGAGAAGTTAATTAGCCCGGCGGCATCGATGGTGCGCAGCCTAACGATGGAGCAGACGTTCTACGAGGACGCGGGCATGTACAGTGCGATGAACGGTCGCGAGAACCACAGCGTGGTCCAGCTCAAGCGGAATCTCACGCTCGACCTGAACAGTTGCCAGAAGCTGAACTCGCAGGCGAAGAGGCCACGGTTGGGCCCGCTGCCACCCGCCCTGAACAACGTCACCCCGATTCTAAGCTCGCCGGATCTCAACATGCTGAAGCTGGCGTCGCCCGAGCTGGAGAAACTGATCATGACGCAGCCGGACGGTCTGGTAACCGGTCTACCGACCCCGACCACCCAGATCCTCTTCCCCAAAGCGGTGACCGAGGCCCAGGAGTTGTACGCGCGCGGCTTCGTCGACGCGCTCAACGAGCTTCATCACTCCGACAGCTCGCAGGAACCCGGCAGCATGCACGGCGCGACGTACACGACTCTCGAGCCGCCCGGTAGCGTGCAAAGTACAGAGTCCACCATGAGCAATCCCGGCATGGTGCACGTAAAGGACGAGCCGCAGACGGTGCCGAGCGTCTCGAGCACGCCGCCGATGTCGCCGATCGACATGGAGAACCAGGAGAAGATCAAGCTGGAGAGGAAGCGGCAGAGGAACCGCGTGGCCGCCTCCAAGTGCCGACGGCGCAAGCTCGAGCGCATCTCCAGGCTCGAGGACAAGGTCAAGCTGCTCAAGGGCGAGAACACCGAGCTGAGCGGCATTGTGCACAAGCTCAAAGAGCACGTGTGCCGGCTTAAGGAGCAGGTCATGGACCACGTGCACGCTGGCTGTCAGATCATGACCGTCAACAACCAGTTTTGAACGGACTCTCGATCGCTACCCCCTCCCCAATCGAGGAGGGACGATTGGGAGAACGAACGAGCCAACCCTCCGGGCTACCCCTTCGCTGTCGCCGTGCTCATCATCGTCTTCTTGCCCCATCGCGCGAAGGTAGTTTTCGCGAGTAGAACGAACAGTGAAACTTTCTTCACCGGCAACTACGTTTTCACCGGCCGGGCTGTTGAATCTCCTTTTCTACGATTGTGATCGAAAGGAAAATTCCTTGCTGGCGCCATGGGCTTATCGTTCGGAAACGTCTCCCTTCTTATCTCAACCGCACGAATTCTTTGTTTCTTTTACGACCGAGAAGAAAAAAGATGAAGTTCAACTACGTCTTTCGATATCGCCGAGGAGTTTGAGACGGAAGAAGCGGTATCTTCGACGAGCGCAGGATAATTCCATTGTCATCCTGAAGAAGGATCTTCGCAAAGAAGGGAGGGAGAAAAGGAGCGAGTCCATCGTTCGCCGTTTTCTCTCTTGGTTCTTCTGTGACATGATCGGGGAGGAGACGATCGTACAACGATGGCAAGAACAGTAAGCAGCAGGCGGAGCAGGAGGAGGAGGAGGAGGGAAAGGAGGTGGTGACGGTCGTGGTGGAGTCGGTGGAGAAGGAGGAAGGAGTGCCTTCGTACACAACGTGAAACGTAAAGGATGCTTTTAGGAGAGTGGCGGGCGTGCGCGCGTGCGTGTTGCGCGCATGCGAAAGACTTTACACGCACGAGCACGCTCGGCGACGGGCGAATGCGTGTATTATATGCGAGAGAGAAAGAGAGAATGTATGCATGCAGAGAGAGAAAGAGAGAGAGAGAGATCGCGCGAGGTAGCACGAGGGGGGAGTATCGCGGCGGCCATTTTGGAGAACGCGAGAGAACTGGCGGGAGATTCAAAGCTACCGAAAGCTGTCCAAGTAAACACCAACTAAGAGTAGCATGATAAATGTTACAATTTCACTCTCAATAACTGTTATATACAACATGTGTTTATCACATCTATCAATGAAATCGAGAGGTCATGTTTATTTTTTACTGAATGCACTTTCGCGAGAGAGACTCGAGCATTCCGCTAGTCTTGGAAACTTCAACCTTGGTGCATACAAAATGTCGTATTATTATATATTATGTTACGTTATCTTCAATGTGAAATTGTAACATTGATGTTACGTTACTATTGGTGCTTACCGGGTGAAGCTTTTTTTCTTTCCTCCATCTTTCTTCCCTTCGTTGTCGAGCAAGCGATCGTCGTCCAACGATTCGCTCCGTTTTCAAATTTCAGGATGCTTGAAATTTTGCGTCTAGGAACGAGATCGATAGAACAGCCATTAGATCGATAGAAAGCGAAGGGCTCCCTCTTTCTTTTTCGGCAGTGGACGGCAGTGCCGATTTTCTTCTCTACGCGGACTCGCGTACTCGGTTCGCTTGTACAGTTTTGATATGGGACACGTTCGCTTTGCTAGTGACATAAATCAAGTTTCGAAAATTGTTCCTTTGACACAAATACACCCCCGAATACGCGCGAGGTGGTTTTTAAGCCTCGTGCCAAGTTGCGAGGATCGACGATCCCCGCGTTCATCGCCGGCTCTTTTTTTTCCGATGCGAACGAGGGAGACGACTGTGTATTTTTGCGAATCAATCAAAACGAGAGATTCTCATCTTCGGAACCGGAAGGAACCACGCGACCGATTACATGTGATAAGCGCAATCAAACCGGGAGATCACGTTTGCCTTTTACCGAATGCACTTTCGCGAGAGAGACTCGAGCATTCCGCTAGTTTTGGAAACTTCTACACTTTTGGTGCATATAAAATATTGACAAATTAATTAATTCTAAGGAGTAATATATTACGGTGCTGTATTATAGCCGCGCAGAAACGTGCATTAGGGCAGTTGTAATAACGCGTATTCTAACGTATCGGGCGACTGAATCGATCGACGACTATCGAAGTGTCGAAACGAGCTTGATTTATTAAGTGGCGTGTGTCTCGCGTAATTCTTTTTAAATAAATGGAAACAAGTTTCAAATTTTTACAATATATATTTGTCTATATCGCGAAAAGATTGAATCTTTAACAATTAAATTAAAGTATTTTTCTAATTGTGATCAGTGAAATTATGTGTACATATAATTATAAAGAGGCATATATATATATATATATATTTAGTATATATGTAAAATTTTTTAATTGTTAAAATTGTAAAAATATGTACAGATTGTTTCAGTATCTTCCATATGTACGTATTTTAAACCGCTTGAAGAATCATTTGAATAAAGAGATATCTACGCTATGTTGAAAACTATCGGCAGAGAAGACGCGTTCGCTGCAATCGTATGCCTCGCCGCCCCGCGTGCAATTAATCGCGATTGACATTGTTCGATATTTCTTCTAAGATGGTCGATATTTTTCTCCGACGTGCCTCGACGTCATTTCGCCTGCAACGCGCTGATCGGACGGTACCGAAGTAGCCTCGTTTTTAAACCCGCTTTTGGAGAAGAACTAGCGCTATTAAGGCTGTACAAATAGAGTAGTGTTTCAGAGCAGTCGTGCGTATTGAACCTGTCAAAGAATCGTCATTCTGGGCGAAAAAAAAAATGGACGCGGTGTACGCTCGCGGTGTGAGGGACTGTCCTGCAATCGCCTGACGCGTGCCTATTAATCTAGATTACGCTTGATTACCGACGTACAAAGTACCGAGGCGAATCACGCGTAATTATACGATCGATCGGATCACGCTTATCATCGTCATACGGGATAATCGAGAAAATTGGTTCCAACTAGTCTGGCTCATCTAGCGCGAACTATAAAAAAATGATTAGTCGAACAAATAAATTTTGCTACTAAAAAATTCGAAAATGTGATCAATTTTCTACGCGGAAAGAAAGATTTTGCTGAAATACTTGAAAAACTTACAATAATAAATGATTTGTTAAGACTGTAATGTGAATATACAACAAGTACGAATATTAATAATTAAAAGCTTATAATGGTCGAGAAGCTGGATTTTTAATGCTTTAAATAATTCAATGTGAATTAAAAAAATTAGCTTAGATCTGAAAATAATTTTTAGATTATCAAAATAATTATGTAGAGCGCTTAAGCGTTATTGACAATGTTGTAAAAAATTGTAACACTCTAGTAATCAGTTTGAACGTCTTACATAATTATTTTGATGGTCCAAATAAAATTCTTTTCAAATCAATATCCAGCTAAAATTTTAGATACCTCATCAAATCGTTCTTTTTACGTATGAATCGGAACGGCGGATGACGTACTTAAAGATACGGAAAACTAATAAAAGTAGCCTCATATTATGCCTGGTTCGATTGGTACACCGCGTCCATTCGTGCGATAGGAAGCCCGAAATCTTTCCCTTAGCTCTTAAGCCGGAGACAGCCAGCGAGACACGTTCTCCTCTTGGTTCTTCTGCGCGTTTCATGACGCGTAGAACTCCATTTCGTCATATGTGCATCTAGTCTTGTCCAGTATGCCCTTGTAACGCGCGACGCGTATGCGTGAGCCGCATACCGCACACACACACACACACACATATGCGCACACAACAACACGGTGGTCGTCGCGACCGCGTTCAATCACGTGTCGCAAGCTGCACGGCGTCGGGAGGCGTCGCGACGTCGGTCATCTGCGATATCGGACTCGCCATACTGGAACCGGCAGGCGTCCACATTGCTGGAAATACACACTCGTTTCTCTTACGACACACGGAACGGTTTTGTTGAATATCCAAGAGTTTAGCTAGCTATATATACACGCAGAGAATTTTTTCGTAGAGTTTACTCTGAAAATATGATAGTCGTGAGACAACATTATATTTCGAAGAATTTTTTAATGCAAACCTCTCTCATTTATTAATAAAACTACGATAAAATATAAAATAAGTTTGTGGTAAAAAAAATCTGTAAAATATTGTATTGTATCACAACTACTATATTTTCAGGGTAAATTTTAAAAGAAAATTCTCTCCGTGTAGATTTGAAAATAATTACCACCAAAATAATTGTATGTAAGACACCTCGAGCAAGATACGGGTTATCTCCGTGTCTTGGTATATATCGTTAAATGCCAACGTTTCTTAAACATTGCAGTTCATTTCACCAGGGCGAGAAGCAATCCGACACTGCCCAGGTATGATGATACTGCAAAAAATTTTTACATTCTAGCAACTTGAGCTTCTACCAGCTTCATCGTCCAATATTTCGATGGTCTAACGTAATTACTTTCTGTCTAGCTAAATTTTTAGACACTTCAGCAAAGTCCTTTCCGTGCACAGTACTGACGCACATTCACCACTGTCGTACATCCCCCGTACTCTTGGCGCACACGAAACCGTATAATATATTTTGATACGAAGACCGCGTAGGCTGAGCCCGAGAACGCACGCAAGTTATTGTTATCGTGATGATATCGGCAATAAGTAAACCTCCTATCTCTTTGCACGGGAAATGTCCCTGTACCGGATGCTCAGTTTAATCTCTCCGTTCGGTTACACTAGTCAACAAATAAAAAATGTCTTCGATAATATGAATTAAACGAGATGGTTCTTAATCATTTTCGTTTATTGAATATATCAGTATTGAATATATCGAATATATCAGTAAAACTTTGTAGCATGTACAATCTTTTGTTATTGAAATATTTATCAGAACGTCATTTTTTGATAAAAATATCTGCTTTACTTTGCTTTAGTAACTTTTATCTCACGAGACAAGAGTTAAAATTTTCCTTTCAACCGTGTGAGAAGAGATTTACATAACAATGTATATAGCACGCAAGAGAAACTCAACTTTTATCCTGTTCTTTGACAAATGTAAGCTGTAAGCTTTCTTCAAAATTTTTATAAGCGACGTATTTTTTGTGATTTTATGTAATGAAAGAGCCATATAACATAATTTATTTGGCACATTTATACAAAATCTGAGAGCGAGTGTAGCAGAGTAGACAGCGCAATGGTCTGCCATGTTAGAGATCCTGGGTTCGATTCCCGGTGAAACCAAAATATTTTCATACACTCGTTCTCCTCTCGGAAGGAAGCGGCAACTCACCGAGAGTATCCTTGCCAAGAATACTTTTTTAAACAAAAACTTCATCGTTCGGAATCGACATTAAATTGTAGGTCCCATATGAACTGTGTGAGATCAGCATGCGCACTACGGGCATATGAGAATGAGAGAAGTTACCACGCTCAGACACGAGCAACAGGATTAAAGAGAGATACAAAATCTGGAAAGAATTCGCCATATTTAAATCTTCAAGAAACAAAGTCTTTTTTACTACATAAGAGTAACATGCTATGACTTTTTGAATTATTACAAAAATATAGCCAATTTTAATAAATATGTGGTTCAATACTGTCAACTAAACATTTATTTAGAGTAAATAAGTATATCAAATACGACATAGAATGCCATAATTTCGGTCCAAGTTAGATGTTTCGAATAATACAATTAAATAAATTTATTTCAGATATGAGAGATTGCGCGCCAATAACTTTCGGACTTTTAACACAATCAGTCTGAAACGCCACTAATCCCTCCAAATTTCCTCTAAATTAAATTTAGAAAAACTGTAAAGAAATTGCGAGAAATATTACCTCAGTCAGAGTATATATGTTATATAAAAAAAAATATATGTTTAATAAAATAATTGGTTCTTGTATCAAATAAATACATCTTTATATTTAATAAATATTTAGTTGGCAGTATTCAACTAAATATTTTTAAAAGCGACAATATTTTTTCTCAGTGTAGATATGAAAAATAGAGTCAACAAAAAGGCACAAAATGTCCAGTTTTACCAATATCGAAACTTTGTTGACCAGTGTTATCCGTAAAGTTATCGGCGATCCAAGAGTTTTTAAATAACGATTGTTACTGCGTTCTCTTTAAAATGCGTTTCAAAGAACTCGGATATAATCGAACGGAAAGATTGGAATGGGACACCTTGTAGAGGGGAGCGAGCAATAACAAAGCAATCTTACCTCCGTTTTGCGCATTATCTAACGCGAGACGGATCGCGCGCGCGTGATCGCGAAGAAAAATACTTCACAAGCGGGAACGGGGAAAAATATCGCGATTACGTTGCGCAATCCTTCGCGAATAATGTCCTCGTCCCCGTAACTTTGTCCAAGAATTTCCGAGTCTCTTGCCGGCGTGATCAGAGCAGCGGTGACCGGAACAATTATTCGATAAGGGCGACTGTCGTGATAAAAGGAAAGGGACGAGTGATATCTTACGCTTTGTATTGTTTCGCGGGATATTTTTCGACGAGATAAAAATCGACGTTCGATCAGATCGAGGATTAAGCGCGAATTCGAAGATCCGTCGCTCGCGACGGAACGCATGCGTCTTTCTTCGTGCGGACGTTGCGTAATCGTCGTCGCGCGAAATCTAACGGGTGTGCCCGGCGCGAGTGGGGACCACACCTATCGATTTATCTGCGACTCGTATCTCCTCGGCACGTCAGAAGAAAATATATATTTTACTAATAACGTTTCTTCGAGCGACGTTTTTTAAGTGGGCGAAAACCATTTTTCCGTGCGACGCACGACTCGTGTATATGTCGGACGATTTTTAGACGCGAGAATGGAGCTTCAATCAAATTAATTAAGCGCGCTGAAACGATTGGCGAATCCGGGCCCTCTTCGCGACGTAGATCGCGATCGATCTTTTACAGTACACATTTACGACTTACGCATATTTTTATCGAGTCGAGAAGGAGGAGGACGCCGAAAGTGCTTGCGCGAACTTGCGCGCTTATCTGACATTTACGACTGTCCGTTGGCCTCGTTCTCCCTCTCTCTGTACTTTCTTTTTTTAACATTGAGACACGAGAATGTTAAGATATATTTATTTCTTAAGATTAACTCCCGCTGATACTCGCTACGATCGCTACGATAATCTACGCTTTGCGGAAACAAGCAGAATATCAAGACAGAGAACAATTGTCGTAGAGAGATTTCTCGTGTATGAAACGTCGTCGTTGTAACGTACGCAACAGCTTCGGCAGAGGTATTTACGAAGGAAAAAAGTCGGATTATTATGAGCGGTGATTACGTAACGATATTGCGGCGGCGAGTATCGGTGGACTAATGCGCGCTGTTCCCTCTCGCTTGGAT